GAATTTTTTGTTCATTACTCTAACTTTATAAAATTTATATTATTACGAAGTTCACTAATACAACAAAATATTTTATATTTTTAAAATCTATATAACAATTTCTATAAAAATATTTCTACACGTACATGGATCAAGATCTAATACATTAAAATATATATCATAAAAACAACAAAATAATCTATATTGAATTAAATTTTGTTAGAAAATTTTTAAAATATGAAACCCCGCACGTACGTGCGGGTCATGATCTAGTTTAAAGTAAAAATGGATCATAAATAACCTCTAATTCTTTTCAAATTGTCTTGTTTAATTTCGTTTATAAGTGCTTATCAAAAATTGGTAAAGTTAATTCTTTTTATGATGACATCCGATTTTAGATGCATAGACTACATAACACTTCAATAGACTAACCTTAATTATGCATCTTTCTCTTTACTTTTATTTTGGATAAATACTAGGATTCACCCCGGGGTACACCACGGGTATCGATTTTTTTATGTTTTCCTATATATAATATATTTGATGATGTATAATTGATAATTATAAAAAACGTTTTTTTTTTTGTGGTTGTTAAATTTTTCATTAGGAGAAGGTGTTTTAATGTGGCTAAACATGTGTATTGTTTGATATATTTGTATCAAAATTTAATATAGTTAAGCATTACAAAAATGTGAAAAAGTAAAAGTTGTATTATTTTGGTATTGTAATTGATGTAATTGTGTTAAATTCTAATTATTATTTTTGTTTATCATAACCAACAGTTTAATTTACTTAGTTAATAAAAATTTAGATAAGATATGTTGTAAGTGGGTATGCTTGTTTTACATTTTTTGTATATTCTAAAATAATCAAAAATCATTATAAAGACAACGTAAACAAAATTAAGATAAGTTGCGTTTAGAGACATAAGTCTTTAAACAAAAAAAAAAAAAAAAAAAAAACATAAAGACATTTTTTACAAAATTATTTATGATGCTCTCCGATCATCTCAATTTCAGATGCTCTCCGAGCATCTCAATTTTTCGATCAGATAATCCACCAATCGAGCATTTATTTGGGCCGATTTAGATTGTTGGTAAGTCAATACCGAATTCAATTGACATGTTTATGCATTTGTTGAGTTCTCATCTCTGTATAATTTCCGAAAATCTAATCCAAATCATTTCTGTCTTCAATTGACTGTGAATGATTTCAAAGAGAATTTGGATAAGACCATCCTAAGGTATGTATTGGTTTGTGATCGATATCTGAAAGTAGACAGCAGTCCAAAATACCGATTGTCTTAATTTGGGCAAGAGTTAGATTTCGCTAATCGACCAGAAACCAATCAAGAATCATCTCTATAAGGTTAGTTTCCCATCTATTGTTTCAGATGAAAACGTTTTTAATTATTTGTTTGGTCTAGGGATAAAATTCAGCTAAGCTTACTTACTTATGTCCTAAATGTTAAAATAGACATTTTATTGTAAAGAAATGCAGTCTAGATTAAATCACTTATTTTGTTTAAGAGCATTTTAGTGAATTGTATTAGTATGAATATGAATAAGAAACTTATAATGTGTTGCATTTAGAATTCTTTGACAAATCATATCATTACTAACTAATAATTGTTAAAAAAACTGGAGATTCATATAGTTCTGAAACAAATTGCAGTTGCATTTAAAAAAAAACATTGTTGTTCTAATTAACAGTGATTCCATGTAGTGAAAATTTAAATAACACAATACAGAAAAAAAAAAAAAAAAAAAAAAAAAAACTCTCCTAATTTCTTAGGTTCTAAAAGATCTCTTTGAATACCACATTCATGGTTTGACTCTGAGTTTTTCTTTCTTTATCCACAATAAGAACTTTTAATCCTTTTTTTGGATATAACTTTTGATAACGCAACATATAGCTGGCCATGCGAAAACACTGGTCTAGAAAGATAAAGCCCTACCTCTTTAAGTGATTTTTCTTGGCTTTTGTTTATTGTCATTGCAAAAGCCACATCTAATAGAAATTGTCTTCTCCTCATTCGAAAAGGCAATTTAGTATCTAAAGGTGTTATATGAGCCTTCAGAATTAGAACTTTGTCTCCAATTCTATCTCTAGTAATCACTCTGGCTTTTAATATATGATTAGCCATCTGCGTTATTTGCAATCTAGAGCCAGTACATAGCCTGCCTTTAGGATCAATGTTTCTCAGTAACATAACCGGTGCACCAATTTTCACACGTAGACTTTGATTTGACAAACCAGAAAGGTTGATATTATCAAGGAAATCAGATGTAAAGACAGGGTTGTTTAACGAATTCACATCCTAAGGATCAATACTATATGCACTTAAGAAGATCATCTCTTCACCTGTTTTAAAAAAATTAGTTAGAAAATTTGAAATATATTTCTGCATAAGGAAATACTATAAATACTTTGCTTACCATTAAGTTTCTCTAGCATGGTTTCATTGATGGTGTTAACATCTCTATTTGTTGGACATAAGATAGCTCACAAGATGTTCCTAATGAAACACACTTCATATACTCTCCCCTATATAAATAGAATCTCAACTTCTTAGTATAAGATTTGTAATCGTTATGTTGAGAATAAAACTGTGTAACCACCACACCAATTAAGTATGAAAATACACTTACAAAGTATCTTTGACGGTGAAAGTCACGTATCTTGAGTCATAATCATTTTCTCCCAATCGACAAATCCAAGGTAATCTTCCAACTAGAGAGACACTGTGAATCACTCTAATTGCATCTAAATATTTAAGGAAACAAACATTATGTTCCAAGCCAACTTTAGTTTCGTATAAAAAAGACTAAAGTTTCTTAAATCTCTACGTATATATAAAGTTTAAACAAATGAAATAACTTGAAAAAATTTTCATGTCAATGTTACTAACTTACCATAAGACACAAAAATAAAAAGAGATAAAAGCATATGATAAGTCATTTATGAACAACAAAACGTAATAATGAGAAAGACTCAAAGTAAAATTACTAAACTAATAAGAGTTTAGGTAGCAAACAAATAAATTACAACAAAAAATAAAAGTTTCAGTTATTATCGAATGGTGACCATTCATAATTTTTTTTTAATAAAATAAGAGTATAATGAAAGTAGTTCTTTTTATTAACATAATTTTGTATTTTCTTAAAAATTTTGAATAAATTACTTAAGAGTAGAATTGATAGAAGATTTAATGTAATAAAGAAATTTTATTTTTTTCTCATTTAATTTGGCTAATTTTTTATTTAAATAATGTAGAATAACGCATGTCATTTTCTTGTGTGATGATGTGACATTCATATGGAGAGAGTTAGCCAACTTTCATATATATGATTTTCCTTGATTCCATAAAACTGTCTCAAACTGTGTATCGTTTAAATAAAATTCATTAAACTTAAAACTTCCTAAATTAATCTAATTCAAATATCATCAACTTTTTACATATTATGCCATATTTGTAATTAAGCAATCTTCTTTATAAATTAAAGCTGAAGACTAATATGCACAAATGTTAAATGACAGTTAAATGACACTATGAACCTCTCAAGAAACTCAAAATATTTTTGTCTTTTCTCAATCTTTTCATTTGGTTCACACAACAAATTGTCACAACCATTATTAACCAACTTATCACTAAATTTGCTTTCGAGCTTATTTTAAAAATTATAAAATACTAGATGAATACCCACGCTACGCGTGGGTTTTTGATTTGAAAATTGTTGGAAAATATGATTATGGTTTTTGTTGCATTTTATGTTATGTTTGTGTGTGTTATTATGTAATTAATAAAGTCATATCTATTTTCTATAATTATAATTTTTATTATTAGATTCATCTTTGATTGAAATATTAATTCTACGTTTTTTATGTATAAACCTGATTATTTATATACATACGATCTTAATATTTCATTATCATGAATACATCCAACAATAATATATGATATATTAATATATGGTATGTAATTATGTTACTTATGTGATTTGAAACTTGCCTAACTTAATTCTAAACAAACAATTCTTTGTTCTATGTACTCTCTCGTCATCTAGTACGCCAACAACATCATGATATTCTAGTACTTTAAGTCAACACTTTAGATCTCTCTCCTTGCATACAACCATATAGGAGAGAGTCTCGTGTTTTAAATTTTTTAGGATGTCTAACGTCTCAAAGGACCATTAAGTGAAAAAATTGTATGTCAACGTTACCAACTTATCATAACGCACAAAAATAAAAAGAGAAAATGTCATATTCACAAAACGTACGTAACATGAAGTTAGGTAGCAAATATATAAACTACAACACAAGTAATTTTTTAGCCATTATCGAGTAATGACCATCGATAATGAAAGTAGTGCTTAATACATTAATATGATCTTTTACTTTATTTTTTAGTTTTTAAAAAAATCAATGAAGAGTGAGATTAATGGAGAATTTAACACAACAAAAGACTTTTGATTTTCTCTCAATTAATTTTACTAAATTTTTTTATTTAAATAATGTAGAATGACACATGTCATTTTCTTATGTGATGATGTGGCACTCATATGGAGAGAGTTGGCCAACTTTTATATATATGATTGTAGATATTTCTATTTATTTACGACATCGTGTTTTTTAAAAAGAACTGTAAACGTCTAATGTGCTTTCAAAGCGGATATATATTTGGAAGATTCAAAGAAAATAGTTTCCAAAAACATCCAAATACTTCTGATTCTGAAGCATGATACGCACCTCTGACGAAGGTTCCGTACTACATAGCCGTATAAATAGGATTATCTTATTTCTAGAAAATTGTATGAGTTACAAAACATTTATTTTATATTTCTTGTGCATATATAACTCTTTTGTACAAAGTATTTTTGAATTATGAAAAGGAAATCAAGAATACCAGACAACTAGGAGACTTAATTACATCACCTTTCTTTCCTTTAAATTTATGGAAGAAGGGTCATAACTTAAGATGAGAATTTCGTTCATATAATATGAATATTAAATAATGTCTATGAGAAAATGATGTATTTCAAACGCCATTGTTTTGCTTTGCCTTGGATTCCTTGTAAACTAGAGAATCTGAATAAGCGATGTTCACACGTCTTTGGCCTTTACGGTGATGCCTAAACTTTTTTATATCAACATACTTCTTTCCTTCTTTGTTGTTACCATCACGCTCCATAATCTCAACTTCTTGGATAGACTCTAAGACCTTAACCACCTCACACATTGTAGGTCTATACTTAGGATGTTGGCTTAGACACTTGTATGCTAGGGCAGCAGCTACCTGAGCCGCTTCTGTTTTGTACTGGTTCTCGAGCCTTGGGTCAATTACCCGCTCTAACTTTCTTTGGTCCCTTAACATGGGTCGCGCCCATTCCACGAGGCTTTGTTCCCTCCGAGTTCGGGTGTTGTCCATTGACCGTTTCCCGGTTATCAGCTCTAACAAAACTACTCCAAAACTGTATACATCATTCATCGTCGTTAAATGACCTACAACACATGTGAACCATTAAAGATACATATCTCAAAGCATCTCGCTTACACGGTAAAACAAATCAATTGTATACAAAAATGTTACCAGTCATGATATATTCTGGCGCAGCATAACCTTGTGTTCCCATCACTCGGGTTGTTACATGCGTATGTTCGCCTTCAGGTCCATCTTTGGCTAGACCGAAGTCAGATAATTTGGCGTTATAGTTCTGCAAAATCAAAGAATCAGTTGAAAATAACACTTTGATTTAATAATGGATACACAATTAAAAGAGGAAACAAGAAAAAACTCACGGAGTCTAACAATATGTTAGAGGTTTTAAAGTCTCTGTAGATGACTGGTTTCTCTGCTTCATGGAGAAAAGCTAAACCTTTGGCGGCTCCAAGGGCTATTTTCATCCTTATTCCCCAAGCCATTGCTAAGCTATTTCCTGTCCCAATTCAAACACTTTTCAAATTTAGTAATATTATTGAAAGATTGTTTAAATTGCAAAAGATATATAGTATATAGTTTTTAAGAAGTTATTAATGTAGTGTACGACCAATTAAATAAATAAAAACTTGACGAAGTTAACGTGAAGCATATGGATTCTTTTTTTCAATATTTTTTCTTGATGTCATTCTATACTTAGAAAACGTGGAGTCTTCATGGAGTTGTTCTTTTAGGTTTTTTTTTTTTTTTTTTTTAAAACAGGCCATATATAGAATGACATTATAAAAAAAAGTTGTAACCCGGTCTAGAACATATATAACAAAAATTGAAACAATTTTTTAGCAAGTTAGGTAAAATTTAAGTAGATGACGTACTTCGAAAGAGCTGATTCTCCAAGCTACCTCGAGGCATGTACTCATAAACAAGCACTCTTTGCTCTTCTTCACAACAAAACCCTATTAGCTTTACAAGATGTTTGTTACTTAGTTGTCCCAAAAATATTATCTCCGCCTGCAAACAAAAAATGGATCATTTAACGATAAATTTTGTATACATTAAAAAAAAAAATTATGAAGAAAATTCACAAAAATATATTTTCAATGACATACTGCAAAATGGTTAGATTCATAGGTAAGAAGGAAAAACAAAAAGTAACCTTAAATCCTTCCAATGCATTAAAATTCAATGAATATAAAATAATCGGGACGGTCTTTTCGTAAATAAATTGGTATCTTTTTTAGTAGAAAAGTCTTGAATCTAACAAACACACATATTAAAAGAGAAAGAAATGTTACCAGCCATTCTCTATGGCCTTGATGGCCATGAAGATCTAGAGCCTTAACCGCAACCGGTTGGGCTACTATACCCGGTTTAACCTTATCATCAATAAACCCTTTGTAAACCGGCCCAAACCCTCCTTCGCCCAACATGTTACTTCTTGAGAAATTATGCGTAATCACTCTCAGCTCAGACAACGTGAATAAACGAAGCTTCTGAGATGTGAATGAATGAGAGAGATCATCCATGACCGACATGGGCGAGCTTGGATCGCTTATGTCCGATAAAGACAGCCTCTTGAACGCCGGACAAGTTGTTATTTTCATTACAGCCTTCTCCTCTCCTTCGTATTTGCTTGTGTTCTTTGCCTTGTAACACCCCAAGAACATAGATTTCAATGATGACTTCTTCTTCTTGATCACTGCCATATTTTCTTCTTCTTCTTTTTTGTTCTTTGGGAAAAAATGGAGAAAGATAGTCTTTTACTCCTTTTGATGAATCTTTTGTAGAGCGCGTAGGTTTAGAAATTAAGGATGTTATAGTTAACCTACTTGTCTTCAAAGTCCTGTAATTTATAGTAGTTGTTGTGTCTTATTCGTACTGACCGACCTTTGAGTTTTCAAACTATTTATATATGTTAAGTAGTTGCTTTTTTTTTTTTGTATTATTTGTATAAAAAAGTTAAGTTATTTTTTGGTGGATATATTTATATTGTCCTAACTTCTAAGCTCTATGCTGATATATGTTTTTCAGGAGAAACACGATTCCATGTTCACATTAATCCTCACAATAATATTGAAAAAATAACGCAAATTGTTTTCTCTTTATCACATCAGTATTCTAAATATTAATATCTTAAAGTGAGTGAACGTGTTTTCACAATAATATTGATTTTAAATTCATAATTGTTCTTAGACTTCATCTCACAAAAGTCTACGGACTAAATAATTTTGCGTATATTTTTCAATGAATTAAAAAAATTGTCTCTCGCTCTACATTCTCCTAATACGACTCTCGTGTCGTTTCATAAGACTTAGTTCTCTGTCTAATAGGTTTTGTTCTAATAATTTAGGTAATTTAAAAATGATTTGGTGAATTTAAAGGTGTCTCTTTACATTCCACTAATTCGATTTCTGGTTTCATAAGACTAATTAGTTCTTTCTAATAGTTCTTGTTTTAATAATTTAGGCAATTTAAAAATGATTTGGTGTATATTTCCGGCTGGCAAATATATATTACGCACAAATTAAAGAAGATATGATTCGCCTTGTTGAAAGGAGAATGAGATGATTAGGACATAATTAGATGTCCGTTGACTTTGTTTCCTCCATGATTAAATTTTAAGAAGTATAGAACAGAAACAAATTTGAACAGAAACTAATTATATAATCATTTATTCAATAACTAAAGGTCGGTTGGTCTTCAGGTACGTAACATAATTTTCAGACATAACCTTTATATTGCACCGTTCGATCCTTTCGTTAGAAGTTAGTATCACACTGAGCAGTTATAATATTGTGCACAAAACAGACAACAATATGTGATTGCAAGCAAACTTGTAACTTGTAAGTGTCTTCTAACCTTTGAGAATATCTTTTATCAAAAAAGAAAAGAAAAAAAACACTCGTAATTACCTTTCCTCTACTTAAGGGAAAATTCCCAAAAAAAACTCCAACTATTTAATATTTGTCAGAAAAAATTCTGAAATTTTTTCGTTACCGGAAAAAAAAACCCAAACTAATTTAATGCTGACAAAATAAACACGAACTATATTTTTCTTCCAATTTCTTCTCATCTTCTTATGGCCGTTAACGCCGTCAACAACACCGTTACTATTTTTGGAAAAATTCCTTAAAAAAAACCTAAGCGTTAAGCTATTTTGTCCACGTTACAAAAAGTGTTTCTACAATACCATGTCCATATATAACTCATTGCAGGAGATTCGAACCCAAATTGCGTTAGTGAAATTTGAAACAAGCTAATACTAAAACAAATTAACGTAACATTTGCGGACGTTGGGTAGCGATTGCAGTTGCTAGTGTTAACAAAATAACAATCACAAAATTTGTTTTACACTATGTTTTGGATCAATTTAGAATGCTAAATTACAAAAAAAATTCTTCCTGCTAATGTTTGCGGCAGTAGGTGGTTAAAAGAAACTCCGTTTTAAGTCTTAAATCCAAATAAATTTAAGAACTTTCTTTTGACTCTTGGAGTCATGCTCTGAAGTTGTTCACAAATTCATTTGCATGAGAGTATAAGTGCATTGCATCCGTCTAATCATACCAAAATAAATGTATTTTAATACTATCAATTATATTGAAGTGTTGTTCGTCGCATGCATGTATATACGTACAATAATTATATAGAACTGTCGGGGAAATTGTGAATCATAACCAGCCGCCACATGAAATTATTTGCCTTTTGAAATTTATTAGCCTATGTTATAGTTTAAGGCTGGTAAGATTTTGGCGGCTATGGCCCTTGAAATATGGTAGACAAGATCATCCATATAAGATTATTCTTTTTCACTTCTAAATTAATTAATGGGTGACTTGCGCGATTTTGTATTGTTGTTTAGTGGCTAGTAAAAAAAATCATTTATCGATAAATTTATTTTAGCCAACATTATGTTAGTGTAGTTTAGCAACTTTGTATGCACTTAGTAACGTAAGAATGTTAAATAATACATTTTAATGTAAACTATATGTACATATTAATGTTGTCCAAACAATCTGCAGTTTGTGAATATTTTCACTGTATTCTCGATCTAGTATTACTATAATACATTCTTCATCATCCAATATTATGTGAACATGATCACTTGCTGCTGCTTCTTGACCTTACAACTAATTCTTTTGACCTAGAAATTGTTTTTCTAATTCATCCAAGCATTTTGATGAGTTTTTCTCCATGGATGAATTAGTATCCTATATCTCTAAGATATCAATCTCCACAGAAGATCTTGTCTTAACTGATGTGCTCCTATTAACCAAACTCAAATAGGTAAAATTCATGGCCACGCTCACCATGATCCGACATCAGTCTTTTGAGTTCCTACCATAACTAGATCTTCTTAAAGACATCTGCACTAACAAGAAGAGAACCCTAATTCCCATTTATTTAGCTATAGACAAACTTATAGAATCATAATGTTATTTTTGCGACTCTTTGACAAGTTAATAAAATTGAGCTATAATATACCGAGAAAATTTGTAAAGTAGACACTTTTTCCACTAATAATTTGTAAAGTAGGTATTTTTTTTAAAAATTAGAAAAGTAAAAATTAGAAAAGTAGACACTTTTCTCTTTCCTCTCTAATACACATTTCTCTCTAATAGAGATATTAGTAAATGACATATTTATCTTTTTTTTTTGTTTTTATGTACCCACATAATGACATAATTGACTTAGTCAAAAGCTTTTATTTTTCTCTTTCTTCTCTTTCACTTAAATAATTTTATTTTGTTTCGATAAAAATTCTTCATAAAAACTTTTTACCACAATAACATATTAATCTTTAATTTTTTTTTATGAATCTAAAAAGTCCAATTTTGCTATATTTTTCGGAAACATAACAATTTTTATATTTAATCTCAACCCGATGGTGTACGTGATAATGTAAAGATAGTGTACAAACGGTAGTGTACTACGATAATGTAAAAATTAATTTATGATACTCACATGATGTAAGAATTGATATACTGGATATGACATTGTACAAACTACAATCTATAATAGTGTACAACTATATAATACGATGTATGGTGTACATGATATTAATGGTGTACATGAAAAGATGAGATAATAGATCTCACCATACACCACCTTCTGCACCGTCTACAACATCGTACACTTTCACATATTTTGTACACCACGTCTAGAATGAGAGAACCATTTTTGTCAAGTGTTAGTGTAAAAAATGATAGTGTACGAGATTAGTGTACAAACATTAGTGTACAAATAGGTGTACAAACATTAGTGTACATTACGTATGAATGTACAAACATTACTTCAATTGAATAGTGTACAAACGGGTGTACAAACATTAGTGTACATTACGTATGAATGTACAAACATTACTTCAATTGAATAGTGTACAAATGGGTGTACAAACATTAGTGTAAATTACGGGTGTACAAACATTAGTGTACAAACGGATGTACAAACATTAGCGTACAAACGGGTGTACAAACGGGTGTACAAACAGTAGTATACAAAATGTTATTTATAATGTTGGTGATTGAAAAATATACAAATTAAAGAAAATAAAAAATAATTTTATCCATTATTCCTAAAAAATAGTATTTGATCTATTATTCCTAAAAATTTGGACCCACATCAAAAGTTCTTTCTCACAAGGGTAGAATTGTATTTGACACTTGTTTTGTCATTTACTTTATTACACATATCTTCTATCTCACAAAAGCAAAAAAAGTGTCTATTCCTCGTATTTCTAAAAAAACTACCTACTTCTCAAATAACTTTTAGAAAAGTGTCTACTTTACTAAAAACCCCTAATATACCATTGTAATACTTTTGAACCGTTTTACAACTGAAACATGCATGATCGTCTTGCCTTAGTAGTGTGTAGTGAATATATCCTAGGTTAATCATGGATGATGATATTTGTTCCTTGACAACATCTGGTAAGATTAATGATTTATAGCTCACCCTTTTTACTTTCTCCGTAATTTTTCACGACCTTCTTATCCTATTGCTAGGGTCATTAAAATGTTAGTTAAGTTTAAAAGATTTTGTGATTTACAAATTACAATACTAAACCAATTAATTATGCTCATTAAAAACGTGAATAAGACAGAAAAGATAACCAAGAAAATGAAAAAGAATTGAATGTTCAGGAAATCCTATTAGAACACAATGATTGACAGGTTTATTGGTTTTGTAGCTGGTGGTTTGAGTGGTTAAGGAAGCTATGTATTTTATTAATTGACTCATTATGGTTTTGCATATTTGAAGTGATGAAGAACCAGGAATACTTTAAGCCCACCAATAAATATACCATCACTAACCAAGAACGTTCTTTGTGGAAAACATTTTGTGAGAAGTTCACGCCGATGTTAATGATTGTAATGATTTGATGGATGTGAATTTTAGTGCTTTTGTAGGTTGAAGATTTAAAGTATGGACAATTCTTATAAAGTTTATGTGAGATTATAGTGAGAATTTTATAAACATGTTCTTCTTATGTGGTCTGCATGTCATAGTTAAAAGCATGTTTGCTAGATTTGTGAGTTCTCGTGCTTTTCAAATTTCTTTCTTGTTCTTGTTTTTTTTTTTTTTTTCTTGTCCTTGACCAAAATAGTACCAAGTCTGGGGAGTTGATGTGTTGGGTTTTAACCTTATTTTTAACTCTAGTTTTCAGTGTAATTTTGGTGTTTTATCGATTTTTTTATATAATTTTTATCGAATCATTTCAGGCCAAAAAACAGTTTGGAGTAAGAGTAGGATTAAAATGTCATCTTCTTGGTAGCAAATTTTGTTGTCTTTGTTGTTATCACAAACTTATTTACTCAAATATAGATAAGAGGGGGATTTATGAATTTTTCTATTTTGATATTAGAATCTTTCTATCTTGATCTAGTTAAACTATGAGCATATATACACTACAAGAAAACAAGCGATTACCGACTACGGTCGACGACTAATTGTGTAGTCGCTAATTTATACGACTAAAATACGACTACTCTGCGACTAATGTTACGACTACAAGTATATAGTCGTATAATAGTCGCTAATTAACGACTACATACTGTAGTCATTCAAATAGTCGTAATATAGCGACTATTATACGACTAACATATAAGACCCCGACTATAGTCGTATCGTAGTCGCTAAATAGGCGACTATTTTGAATGACTATTGATTGTAGTCGCTAAATAGGCGACTACTTTATGACTACATTGCATACGGAAAAAAGTAGTCACAAAAAAGTCGCTAATTTGGTGACTAATATGTGACTACAAAACATAGTCACCTTATGGTGGTTTTGTAGTCACTATTTAGTCTCCATAACTGTTTATATAATCAAACTTCACCATTTTTTTCTAAAACCTAAATACAAAACTTTAAATCTCAAAATTCAAAAAAATTATCTACTTAACATTTTTGAAGTACAAATTTGCTCCTCTAATCGGGTCGGATTTTTTTTCTGATTTTGTCCCGGAAATCTTCAATCGGATCTTTTCTTAAATTATGGCAAAATTTAAAAACGAAAATACCTAATAAAATCTAAATTATATATATTTTCTCAACTAATTACTATATCTAAACTATTTATTTATGGTATATTCTTTACAATTTTTATAGATTAGGAAATCAAATATGATAATTTAATGATAATAAAACAAATTTGAGCTAATTTCCTAAAACCTCTCTACCTAATTTAAACATAAATATATGATTCTCATTTCACTTTTATTTGATCTTATATTTATATTATTTTGAATTATTATAAAATATATATAGTTAATAAATTTTAGGGTTTTTTTTCTGTATATGTTATGATTCAAATTTTTTAAAACAGACATATATTACTCAATCGATGAAGAAAAAAAGTATGTGTGTAATCTATATTAACATTTTTTTAAGAACAAATGGCACATTTAATCAGGTCGTTTTTTTTTATTCTGACCCGAAATTGAGTCATTCAGATCTTTTCTTAATTTCTACAATTATCTAAAACGGGACAGTATACCACGGGTGAGATCCTAAAATTAACAAATCAGAATATAATTATTTATTATTTTTAGATACAATTATAAATTGTTTTTACGGGTTGGTCCAAAAACACATACTAATTTTAAAATATATATATTATGGAAACCATTTGAAAGTAAACTTTTAAATTGACTCGAATTATATATCTTTTAAATAAAAGTGTTATTAAAAAAAGTAACAAAATGATGTTTAATTCCACAGGACAAGAGTATATGGTGGAACGGGTTTGGGTCAATATTAATACGGGACAATATACCACGGGTAAAATCCTAGAATTAACAAATCAAAATTTAATTATACAATCTTAAACAGTAAACAAAACAAATACAACTTAAATTTTTATTTTTTATATACAACGCATGTGACCCGCGGTGTACAACAAAAAATATCATACACAACAAATTCATCAGTTTAAAAATAAATAAAAAAATCAAATAATTAACCCGCGGTGTACCGCGGGTCATAACCTAGTCTAGTTACAATAATATATCCATAAACTGAAAACTAACACTTATAAAAAATTATAGTTTTCCAAATCTTATTTTTAATGAAAACTTAACCCCAAATCTTAAACTTAAACCCCAAATCCTATACTTCAAACCCTAAACTTAACTACTAAATTCCTTTAACGACTATTTAGCTACTAAATTCCGACTAATAAAAATAACTAGGCTAATGGATCCAGCGAAACCAAGCCCAACTAAAACGAAGTCGGCCCAGGACCAACTAAACTCACCTCCACCCCGAGAATTCCTAAGTCATCTTCCTCTTTCGCAAACCCTAAGTCATCTTCCTCATTCTTCTTCTCGATTCTTACTCTTTCTCTCAAACAAATTAAACCCTAATTCCTCGATTCTTCCTCTTCCGCTTCCTCAAATCGAACCCTAATCTCCATTTCTTCCCCAAAACTTCCTCAAATCAAACCCTAATTCCTCGATTCGCGTAGCAATTCGTCTGACCCTTCGTCTCTTCACTCTGTTTCCTGCGAATCCGGAACAAGATGACTGGTAAGCGAGGCCGGAAGAGAAGAAATGCTCCCAACGCGTCTCAGAGAGCCGTTGGTTCCACCGCTACAAACCGTAGACCTAAAAATCTGCGCCTCGTCAGCGACGGCGTCCACAGCAAACGCCTCAACACCGACAGCCTCTTTCTCCGCAGCAGGATCCTCCTCTGTCTCCACAGCAGGATCCTCCTCCGTCTCCACATCAGAACTCTGAGGCTCAGAGTCACGCGTTTGGCTGTTCCTCTCAAGGTAACAACTTCCAAAACGAATTGCCGGATCTCCAGGAGGATACGCTTGAGGCTCTGACTGCTCTGCTTATGGTGCCGGACCGTCATCTGTTTACAACCGTTCTCTCTCCAACACCGTTGCCAGACACGACGTGGTATGACTCTTGGTCCCTTCTATAGTGGTTTTTTCTGATTGCTTTGTGTGTTTTAGGATAGAAGAAGTCTGATTGTTTTCAAAATGTTTTGTGTGTTTGATTGTTTGCTTGTTCTTATTGTTTTGTGTGGCTTACGATAGAAGTCTGATTGTGTGTCTTAGGATAGATTGTTTTTAAAAAGTTTGATTGTTTTCAAAAAGTTTGATTGATTTCAAAAAGTCTGGTTGTTTTCAATAAGTCAAGACTGGTTTGAAAAAGAAGTCTGATTCTTTTTAAGAAGAAGTCTGATTCTTTGTTTGATTGTTTTAAAAAGAAGTCTGATTGGTTGAATGTTAAAAAGAAGTCTGATTGTTATGTACTGATTGTGTGATGTCGTATCAGTCTTCATGCTGTGTTTGAGATGTTATCACATATGTTGCAGGTTTGATTGGGACGAGAAATCAAGACTGGTAAGGAGGATTACCAAAGTTTTTACAAACAATTATGTGTATAATTGCTTAAATGTAGTTTTGTTTAATCACTTAGGACTTGTTCAAGAGGCACATGGTCGTGTTTGCAGTTGGAACTTCTTTAGCATCTGTTGCTACTGCTTGGATTGGTAAGTTTTTATATTTGCTTACTTTATCTCGATTTCTCTTGTAGGCTAGGGATTGGACATCTTTTTCCATCTGACCAATAAATTTACATATGTTTCTCTGGATAATGTAGATATTCAAGTTCTTGATTGTGATGTCCGGAGATTAAGTTGCCTAAATGATGCTTGCTTAAGAACTGTTTTGGCGTATCTCGTCAAGTTCTTTGCTGTTTTAATTTCAGCTCATATTGATATAGCCTTTGATGCTTTGGTCTTATGTGTGTTTGTATTGTAGAGTTGGATAATAGATCTTGTTGGCGTGTCATCATTTTCTTCCGGTAGAAATAACCATGAGGCAGTTTTTGGAGCAGAAAAAGCATGAAAGAGTAAGACAAGGAAGAAGAATTGAAATCAAAAGAGTTAATTAAGCCAAGTTCTTTCTTAAAAATTGTTATCTGCTTTGTGTTAATTATGTTTTTAGGAGGATGATGTAATTTTATTTTTAATAATGTTTTTAGTTTTATTTGTAATATGGTTTTCTTTTAAATGTATAATTTTTATTACTAATAGCAGTACCTTCCAAAAACATATTATAAAATAATTAGTAAAAATATAAATATATTTACTGAAATAAATACCTAAATACTGTATAAATACATAAATATTGTATAAATACATAAATACTGTATAAATAAATACAATACTGTATAAATATATAAATACATAATTAAGACCAAAGTCACAATATAGTCGTCAATTAGTCACTAAATTTGGCGACTACTCTACGACTACATTTACGACTACGAATATTAGTCGTAAAGTAGTCGTTAAATGGCGACTAATTTAACGACTATTAATTTTAGCGACTCTCGATTTACGACTACACGTTTTAGTCGCTATTTAGTCGTAACCCACCATTTAGCGACTATTTAGCGACTTTTAGTGTAGTCGCTAAAATCCAGTTTTCTTGTAGTGATAGAGTTAGTTTAAGACGCTTGTTTAGGCACTGGTTTACTTTATTTACAAGCAACTGTCCAATACAGTGAACAAAGGACTGAAGAGTTGTCCACATTACCTCTAATTACACTGGTATCCATGGTTATGTCCCTTGCATAAGAGAAGTGGAATAATATGTAAAGAAAAATTAGAAACATATGAAAACATATTCCCATGAGAATTTATGTTCATGAGCTAAGGCTAGGAGGCTCAATCCAAAGATGGACAATGCAATTTTTGGTGCTTATGTGATGTGGTGGCGAAAGCTAAAACGGGGAGGTGATGATCGGCTCTGTTTGGGACGTTAAAACTGAGTATTCACGAGTGAAAACAGAGACGGAGATGGGATGTGAGGTGGTTTAGATGAATCAATGGAGATGGAGGTGAAGCGAGATGGAATCGAAGCGGAAGTCCTCCTTCCAGGGCTTGACACAAGCTCTTTTGAGTTGCTAATGCTACCTCTTTTTGGTTTTTTTCTTTATTAATTCAAATCAATGATGTTGATACAAAGACTTGAGACTCTATTTAAAGCTAAACAAAAAGATACGTCCTAATCCTAAATCAAACTAGATAAGCTATTGAGCTTATACTACATGCAGCGTTTTCCTACGGCCAAAATCGTAGAAAATTGGTAGGATAAAACAATTTGAAGCTGTTTAAAAGAATAAAACAAATCCAAAACTAAATAAATAAAGGACTCTTGTTGAACACGTAACACAACACCAAAGCCTGTGTTCAACGACTCAAAATACCCGATAATGCGCTGCAACATTATTTGAAGTTAAAGTTGTCTCCTATCACTTCCAAGAGAAACCATTACAGGTGGGAACATAATTGGATTCACTAAATTCTTACCTCTGACTAAGTAACTCTTACGTGAAACCAAGAATAAGCTAATGAACAGAATGACAATGATTTCAAACCTTGCTAATAAAACACAAATAATTAAACTATTGTCCATCTATGCATTCTATATTCAAATGTCACATATTCGTAATCTACCCTTTGTAATTGATTTAACAAAATTTTCAAATAAAATTCAGAACAGTTTGTAGGCAAATGATAAAGAAGTCATGGGGATACTTATAAAATCAAAAATATATCGTTTCTGTTACTGTTTTGGATGAATAAAATATGATCTACGAAGTTTAGAATACGCCTTATGAATTTAAAATGTGTATTCTATACAATGTACATATTCCATAAAATTTAGATAATGTATTCTATGCACTCTACATGTTCTATAAAATTTAGAACGCATTTTTGTTCTACGGTATTTAGAATGTTAATTTCTACGAAATTTAGAGTACATATTCTATACTTTGCTCTTTCTTCTAGAAAAATTAGAATATATTTTCTAACATTTACCCATGTTCTAAAATTGTTAGAAAACATATTCTTATATTTTTCTATATTTTCTTTAAAAATAAGAAATCAAATTCTATGTAATTTAGATTATTTTAAAAAAACGAAATTGTATAAGGAAATCGAATATAAAAAGTTAAGATTACGAAACTACACAACTTTTTCGTGGAAAATACGTAACATGAGTGAAACGTGTTGCTATACTTACACAAAATACAAAATACGTAAGACACCAAACTCAATTATAAACTAACAAAAGTACCACATTTGTGGAAAATTTTGGCTTACTATAAGCGTAATAATTGAAAGTGACTAACATAAAAGTGAATTGACATGTAAAAAAGTTGCATAAATCAATGTGTGTCTGTTTTTTACTCAATCTCTATTATATTAGAATCTAGTTGTGGAGGTGCATACTTTGCCATTCGGTCAATAAATACAGGAGCATGTGCTACTTCCCATAGATCAACTACAAGCCTTTGACGTGCATGTATATGTTGACATCGTTTAACATATCCATGGGCAGTCCCAAAAGAGAAAATCGAAGAAGAAGTTGACGGCAAAGAAATCGAAGAAGAAGATGCCGTAAAAAAAAGGAATTAAAACGGAAGAATATATGGAATTATCTACGGAAACAAAAATTAGAAAGTAATTTTTTTTTTTTTGAACAAAGACTTGATTCTATTCATTCAAATAAAACCCAAGTACAAGGAGAAGGATTCAAAAATCCCAAAGTTTAAAACATAATAAAGAGAGACATTCCCCAATGCCACAAAGATAACATAATATTTTTGTCCTATATTTTCTCCAAATCATTTTAAGAAAGAAATCTAATTAATTTTGGAAATTTATAGTTTAGCAAGATTTTTTTTTAAAAAAAACTGGGGATATAATTGGATTTTAATCATATCAAAACATATATGACCAATATTAAAGCATATATGATCAATTAGGAATATAGAATGCAAAGATGGACAAGAGTTTAACTATTTATCCTTTATATCTGGTTTTCCCTATTATATATATACAGTTTAGTTTTCAAAGTTGCTAAATCACATTATCACCATGTCAAGTAAAACATAAGATGTTGTCACGTGTTAAATCTAAATTTGTTAATATATTTTAAAATAAAATAAAAACAAGTTCATAATTCTATTGGAAAAAAGGAAATATATACATAAGTAAACAATAATATCTCCTTAATGATATTACGGAAGTACATAACTAAAATTAACATTATCTCTTATCAAAAAATACATCAAATTACTATTACAAATATAGGTTTCAAATAACAAACTAATAACTGGATTAGCACCCGATGTGCGGGTTTAAATTTTTTAAAATTAAAACTAAATATAATAAAAAAATATATATAAAAATTTAGTTGTAAGTAGAAGCTATATTTAGGAAGTAAATAGAGAATATTATTTAGTTACAGAAAATAGTTATTTATATATTCAATTTTTGCTTTAATACACTAAATTGCATTTATATATTTTAAAGTTATTGTAACATTTATTATAATAATCTAGTAAAGTTAAACTATCAATTACCAATAAAAATTTCAAAATATTCATCATTACTATTATTGCCAAACCTCAAAAACGTGATGTCGCAATCTCGCCTAAAATACGATTCCACATACCTTCATCAGAAAATGTTTTACATGTAAATCACCGGTCAAACTATCATTTTATTTACACTCATTTACAAATTTACTATATACTTTACGACTCAAGATAATATCTTATTACACTAAATCATGATATATGGTAACAATTTTAATTGATAGACTTGACACATGTCAAAATCATATTAATCATATGAGTTACTAACTCTGGAAACCAAACTTTATGTAATAAGATAGTCACTAAGGGTAAATATGCTAAGTACTAATTTCGGCAATTTAATTACTTTTTCAGAACAAAATGTTTTAATAGTTTTCAAAAATATATAATAACCAATCAAATTGAATAAATAAGAATTGATATCTAACTTACCATATTAAATTGTTATTAATCATCATACTTCACGTCTCATCTTTGTTTGATTTTATTTTTATGAAACAAATAAATAACCACATCATCTATACAATAAAAAATAGTTATTTTCCCGCATATGCCATGACTTAAATTAAAAAAAAAGGATATACATTGTTCAACCTATAAATTAAGAAAAATAGTATTTTGTCAAAAATTCCACATCAAATATGGAGATAAGTGATAGTCTAATAACATTATATAAAAAGAACATATTAACAAGATAAAGAAAACAAAATTGAAAAGTATGAACCTTTACTTAATATGCTCTAAGATTTGAATATTTATATTCTGTTTCATCCATTTTTTAGTTGAAATGCATAATTAATAAAATAAAATAAATATTTAGAATAAATTGATGAAAAATGTGGAAGCCTTTTGGCCCATTGGTTGATCAAAGGTTAATTAATGCTTCTACACCCAGAGGTCTGGGGTTCGAATCTCAGATACTGCGATTTATTAATCAATTTGCAGATTATTGAAGGCAAGTGTGCAGGTAATCTCCAATAATGTACAATTATAGCCGTTCGCCAGGATTCTACGCATAGAGGGAAGTGTCCATCAAGAGCATGAAGAAGGAGGTGAAGGAGGTGAGCATGAAGAAGGAGACGAAGGAGGTGACGTCTGTCGTGGATCTAATAAGGGTCGGAAGGAATTGTCTGTTGTAGAATCGTCTATGTAACAGTTCTCATAATTTGCAATAAATAATAAATCCAGACGTTAAAAAAAAAATTGATGAAAAATATTATAAATATTTTATTTGATGAAAAAATGAATTTTTTAATATTCTAATTTGATTAAAAAGAAAAGAAAATTTAAGAGTTCGCAAGTCGTATGATGTAATGAGTTAGGATAGATAGCAGTTAAATGGAAAGTATTAAGATCATATGCTGAGATGGTTTAAATATGCTTTGACACCTTGAAGTTTTGCAAAATTGATTATATAACTTTATCATTTGTCCCACATATTTGTAATTGTAGTACGACATAAATTCAACTGTAACCATTATTTGCAATTGTATAACCACA